TTTGTCATTGCAAAATTTCCGAGCGCCTTGGGAGGAGGTAACATTCGCGAGTAACTGCCCGAGGGGGCCGACCGGCGCACGGGTAATAAAATGCTGTTCCAGGAGAGTCGTCGGGGCAGACTAAACCGTGGCCTCCGATCTCCTATGCGCTCGTTCCGACGTTGAACCCCGCCTGCAAAATCTTCCTGCAACGTTCCCGCGGGTTCTTAATACCGCTTGTTTTAACGCGTTCGCGTGCGGCGGCTCCGGCAAGTCCGATTTTTGGCAAATCGTCGACATTTGTATCCCGTTATTGTTTCGCGAAAACCGAGCGTAAGGAGGATACTAAAGCATTGCTGCGATCAATTATGTTCCGTCTATTCGGTAAAATGTATAAAGTGAAGCGGTATAATTTATACCATTAATTACTATCCTCAGAAAATAATTTCAAAAATCTTCAGAAAGTTATTTCGATAAATGTTTCACACGAAGCTTTTTCTATTTCGTGCGGGGGAGGGGGGGGGGGATCTAGTACCGTTATTTTGCAAGTGTATGCTCTCAAAGAGCAACGTTATTTTATTGCAATGGAATCATATAATTTTGAATGAAATAGAAATTTAAATTATTATAATTAGAATAGAATGGAATTCGCGGAATAAAAATGTATTAATCTGTTTACGTCGAGAGGTATTTTAATTTTTCCTATTATTAGTATAGAAGTGGGTAATTATGCAAAACAGTTGCGACTCAATTCCAATTTTGTTGAACTTCAAAGAACTTCACAGAACTGTAAAGGGGTTACAAGAATTTAAAGATGTTGTTACGTTATGTGCAACTTTTTACAATTATTAAAAGATGAAAGACATCTTCATTTTACTTATGTTTCTTACATGCAATTTTAACAATTTTTATTTAACAGGTCGTTTTTTTCTCGAACATGCTTTTACGAAGGCCATGCTTGTCCGTAAATCGTACAAATTAAAACGTCTTCGGGAACATCGAGAAATTGTTTCAGCAGCGAATTCTATAGTAGATTTGAAGATTGGTGCTGCCTCGTTGTAATAATCCTTCAAAACTCGGTGTACGATCTCCTTTTGTCGTTTTACGAAACAAACACGAGCCAAACAAGTTCGGTAATGCAAAGACTTCGTGCGCCTTCTGTTACTGTGAACTAGACAGTACATTTCTCATTCAAAGTTGAATAGCACGACTGAAAGAAAAACGTGCAACAAAGTATAAGAGTTTGTTATAAAAGGAAAGTTACACTCTTCAAATCTGTATCAAGCTCTGCACAATGATCTCATGCAAAATAAACATTGATTGCGTTTACAACAAAGAACAGAAGGTAATTGTAAATATATTTTTGCTCTTAATCAAGTGAATAAGTTGAAAATATTGTAATAGATGTTCGAAGCCTTAAAGTCTAGTTGTAACTATCAAAAACAATGTTGCCAGACAGACATTGGTAGCTTTAAAATGAACGCAAAACATAACGTGTCAATGTCGCAAAGGTTGGAAGATTAACATCGTTAATATTTAATAACTAAATGGTTCAATTTTAATTTTTAATTTTTAATGGTACAAAGATCTTCTACAACTACAGGGTGTTCCATAATTATGTTAACAGCCGGAAATGAGGTGTACCTGAGATCATTTGAAGTAACTTTTTCCTTAGCGAAAATGCAATCCGCGGCTTTGTTTACGAATTATTAACGAAAAACAGTGTGACCAATGAGAGGCGAGATCAGCTGGCGCGAGACTGTCGAGCCAATGAGCGGAACTAGGCTTCGTGCGCGCATTGGTTGGGCCGCCACGCGCTAGCAGAACTCGCCTCTCATTGGTCAATGTTTTTCGTTAATAACTCGTAAACAAAGCCGCGGATTGCATTTTCGCTAAGGAAAAAGTTACTTCAAATCCCCCTTTCCTGGTGTTAATGTAAAGCGTTGTTGAACTTTTAGCAAGTTGCGATTAAAGGTTATTCAAGATTAAGCGCGGCAGTAAAATCAATTTTCTTCTATTAGAGAAGAAGTGATCAATACTTACATACATCTGTACAGGGCTGCAACCTTGCACGGTTGCATTAGCTGAATCACGTACAGGTTTATTACGTCAGGATTTGTTCTCGCACATGTTGCAGCAACGTGTTTTTGGTGTTCCCTTTTGTTGTGCATGGCTTTTCTTGGAAAACTACATTTTCAAGTATTTAATAAACGAAGCACTGTGAAGGGAATTTTTGTTTAAAATTTTTGTTGTTCGAATACAATCTTTTATCAATATTTCTACCAACAGTTTCGTATTCCACGAAATCTTTCCATCGTATTAAATTTTCATATCGTTTCACCACTAAAATTCAACAGTTTCCTGTTCCACAAAATCTTTTCATATTCAATTTCCGTATCATTTTACCACTAAAATTAAGCTTCAACAGTTTCGTGTTCCACAAAATCTTTTCGTATTAAATTCTTGTATCAGCGTGTACCGCTAACATTAAACCTCAACAGTTTCGTGTTCCACAAAACAATTCTGTAGACTAATCCTGATAAATGACATTTGTAGACGAGCGTTGATAGAGAAACGAATCAAGTTCAATGCTAAATTACTTGATCCTTCACTATAGACATGTAGTAGAACCGGTATAGCGGACATTTCCCGTAATTTTCCATGTAACAGTTGTATCTTGAATTTTTCTCGCTGCTCGTCGTTCCACGATTCTTCCTTCGACTCTTGTAACAGTTAACAACAGGAATTCCTGATTCTGTATTTCGCGATTACTGAGATTGCGACGATACTTTTGCGGGCGATTACCGGTTATATCAATTTGTTCCGATGCATTTTCAAATAAATATCTTGCGATATCACGGTAAACACGACCTTGTTGTTTTCTTAGACACCCGCTAATCAAGTTAGCAGGAACACCTTGTGTCTAAAGATCGTGTGATCTAACTGTGCAAAATAATCTCAATGAGGATTAAAATAGCTCGAAATACATAAGCAAATTTAGTCACTTTTAGTGCTCGGTTGCTGCGGTGTTAACCCTTTTCGGACGAGGATTTTTCAAAGTGCTAAGAATATTTTCTTCGGAAAACTAGTCACATACTTTTTTTATTTATCAATGTTTTTTATCTTCGCTTCATTTTTTTAGTCAGAATGTCTTATCTTGTTCTGTTGTTTGCATTTTATAATTAAAGAGCTTATTGCGTTGCAATTATTAATTCTTTACGTCGGAGTAAATTTACCTCTTTAAAAATGTTAAGTTCGTTTTTAATTCATATCTAAATATAAGTTTTTATTATATTTTTAAAAAATTTTATATTTAGATATAAGTTAAAAACGAACTTAATATTTTCAAAGAGGTAAATTTTAGAAAAAGATTTAAAAAAAAGCTTTTAGAAGTTGCGTTCCTGTATCTAATTGTTTCATTTTACCTAATGGTTTAAAAAAAAAAGTAAATTTAGCAAAAATTGCGTGCGACGTTAAAATCCACGTTTCTTTGTTAACACTTCACGGTACAAGACATCGCGGATTAACCCTTTGCACTCGATTGGTGACTCTGAGGCACCATTAAAAAATTGTTACATCACGTTTCAAGATAATATTTATATTATAAAAGTTTAGATGTAGAAAATTGTTAAAAGTGTAATTGTTGTACGAGTCACGAGACTAAATTTCATATGCATAAAATGCACCTCGTCTCCATAAAATGGAGATATCATAAGTCAGAAAAATTAATTTAGATTCACAGTTAAAATGGCTTCGAGTGCAAAGGGTTAAACGTTTCAAGTGTCCGAGTTTTATGCATCGCGCGTCGCACGCCGTGACAGCGACAGAAATAAGAAAACGCTGCGTTACGACGTCGAGATTCGCATTTTTAAAGACGACGTTTTCGTACCATCGGAACGAGCACTCTACCGCGGAACTTTCCCTTGATATTCCCCGCTCGGACGCAGAAACGAAAATGGAAATTCAGTGGAAACGGAAGGAAACGCGGGACGGGCAGGCCTTGTCGAGGGGCGGCGCAGAAACGTCGGCAGATAAGTTTGAATCCACTTTGGGGTGGGAAGTGCTTAAAATTTACACGTCGCCCTCCGTTTTCGTTTTGTCCCGCTGTCTTCTTATCTGTTCCGGGCCGCGCATCTGAACGGAAAATAATGGACGCGTTTCTTGCGTACCGCGGCCGCGAGCGTAACGCGTGTTGTTGCGTCGTCTCACCGCGATTCCGGATAACGGATGGCCCCGGTATGCAAGAACACGAAACGACGGCTCAAAAATCGGGAGCCGTTTTCTTCGCCGAGCATTGTGTCCGCGGCGAACGTTCAACTTCGTGTTACGCCGGTGATTTATGGCAACCGCCAACGGCGGAACGAGACATTTTGCTCTTCTGGCTGATACGATAAGTATTCCGTCTCGATACGATCTGGCAAGACGATTTTTTACCGGCCCGGTCCGTGCCGAACGTTTGTTTTAATCTAGTCGATAATACGGTTTAATGTACGGGGTGTGTGTGCCGTTTCATGTCTTTGACTAAATTATTAGTTTCTATCGAACTGTGTATGGATTTTTTGGAGAGTTCGTTCCGTGTTTCATTCGGTTCGTTTTGTCGAATTTATATGGAAGATTTGGAACGAGTTTTCCGAACAACCTAATATTTTTAACATTATGTATGTTAACATCATGTTTTAACATCATGTGTTAAATACATCGTATCCGCTTATAAAATATGACATAAATGTCGTCAAACGAAAGCTATAAATTCTCTAAACATCATGTTATGTGTTACAATTTTGAATAGTTATATTTACAAAATCTTGTGAATATAATTGTTAAGAATAAATAAGGGGTGAATATAATTATTATAATATAATTATAAGAACATCAAACTAATCAGTTTGATGCAAATTAACCGAAAATTTTTATCCAGTTGTTGAAAAGAAATTATCCACGTTCCTCAAGTAACATCTTTTCAGAAGACAATTCACCTTATTATTAAATCCGCTAATTAATATTTCTCGTTTTTGTTGCAGTGCCTGGAGATAAATAAAACAATCAATCCACCGAGACAAAGAACCGACGAAAATTCTTGCAATGCAATCCAGGTAAATAATTATTCAAAACTCGTAGTATAATTAGAAATTAGAAATTAAGTTAAATTCATTCATTCACTGTACGACTCCTTAACAACATTTTAACAATAAACATTCGAAGAAGTTTTGCAATAGAAATATAATACAATATACAAAAAGTTCCAAAATTATGGTACTTCCGGAAAATGAGAGGTTCCTGAGGTCATTTGAAGCAACTTTTTTCTTAGCGAAAATCCAATCCGCGGCTTTGTTTACAAGTCATTAACGAAAAACAGTGACCAATGAGAGACGAGATCAGCTGACGCGAGGCGGCCGAGTCAATGAACGGAACTGTGGCTTCGTCCGCTTATTGGCTCGACTGCTTTGCGCCAACCAAGCTCGCTTCTCATTGGTCATTGTTTTCCGTTAATAACTCGCAAACGAAGCCGCGTACTGCATTTTCGCTGAAGAAAAAGTTGCTTCAAATGGCCTCAGGAATCCCTCATTTCCCGGAAAAATTATAATTTTGGGACACTTTGTACATTCAATATGCTATATACAATCAATATAAAATATACCCTCAAGATCCAATATAAATCAATATACAATATGTAATATACATAATTTTTGATAACTGTATTATAGAATGAAATTCGATATATTGCAAATAAGCCGGAACAATAGTTAAAGGAGTTTAAACATAAATAGTTAAACCAAATGTACACGGAATATATACCGAAGCACCAAAAAGTTCAATATATATTCAGTATATTCATCAATATACAACATATAATATATATAATTTTTGATAACTGTATTATTAGAATGAAATTCGATATATTGCAAATAAGCCGAAACAATAGTTAAAGGAGTTTAAACATAAATAGTTAAACCAAATGTACACGGAATATATACCGAAGCACCAAAAAGTTCGGTGAATCGAGTGAGTCTGGTATGCAGACCCGATATCGGAGAACTAGAAACGAACAAGTTTAATATATGCGACGGTAGTTTTGTCCCCCGTCGAAATCTTATCAGGAACGTCTGTAAATAATTTTGTAGCCGTGCGATAGACTCGGATTCCAATTCGAGTAAGTGGAAATAAATCTTCGGCAACTAACAGAGAAAATTTTCGCTAGACCCCGACGAAACTGGTTCACGGCGAACGAAAGTAACGTTATTTTTCCCGGAGATCGAGTACCGACTGATAGTTTCATTTAGTCTTATCGGGAATGTATTTCCCGAGACATTCACGATCCTACAAAAGGGACAAGACGTGTACGCGGCATTGTGAAGGCGCTATAAAAGTGGAGAGGAAAGAGGAACAACGTAATTGAACGATCTCCCATTCGCGGGGCGATAATAAGTTTTCTTTTCAGAAGGGACTCGCTTGTTCTATTTGCCAGCTTTATTTACGGCGCCGTGGTGGCCGCGGACTATTGATAACAAGGTTAACATGCTTTTGGGAGATGAGAACATGAACGGAATAAAAATAAAAAGAAGCCACTACCGTTCCTGTATGTTTCTGCAAGAATGCGTCCAATCTTTCGTAACTGTTTCGTAGACAAACTTTTTTACTGATACACAGATTATTCGTGAAACTGAAACATAATTAACCCTTAAATGCATGATTTTTTGTTTTGAATTAAAAAAGATTGTTTTTTATAGGAATGTAGTCATAGGTTACGTAAAAAATAAATTAAAAAATCTAGGTAATAATATTGAGTATTTATTTTGAAAAAAAGTTGTATGTGGACTTTTGGCAACAATATGCGTTTATTACTAAAATTATTGTAGACGTAAACAAATGGTCATGTATTTATATTATCTATTAGTATAGGAATTTTCACATTATTTATAAATGAAATGCAGCAAAGCAATTGCGATGTTTGTTGTGACACAAAGCAATTTTTAAACTCGAAGAAAGAAAATATCTCTCCAAGTAACACATTGAAGGTTATCACCCACCACATTCAAATGTCAAAAAACATATAACTTACTATTGTTATCAACATGTGTTCGGATGTTGAGCACATGCTCAGGTGTTTGAATAAAATTAAGTGGAACTGGAATGTAGACAATTGGCAGCAATATGCATTTAAGGGTTAATAAGGCATGAAACGTAGGAAAATGTATACATATAGAGTAATAATTTCAATCTATATACATAGTTAAAATTTATTTGACATGAATTTATAGTGATTAAAAATCAACGTGGTAGTTACTACCATGTAGAAAAAATAATTAAAGCAGAATGCAACGTGAAATGAATAAAATATTTCTGAATATTGAACAAATACTTAAAATTTTAGAGTAATATACACATATGTGTAATGATTAAATAGTCGACAAAAATGTAAATTTATCACTAAAAAATATTGCAAAAACATTAATTCCAATTCGTACTAGATTCGTAACTTTTGTATGTGAATTGAAGTTTCATTATAAATTATTTATATGTGAATTAAAATTTTATTATAAATTTATAATATGAATATTTAAATTTTATTATTTTATATATGAATTGATATTTCATTATAAATTATTTATGTATGAAATTACGTTTTATTATAAATTTATATATGAATATTTCAGTTTTATTGTTTTATATATGAATTTCAGTTTCGTTATAAATTCGCGTTTAAAAATTTATATCACAGAAACATTTTTATAGCGTCTGGAACTGTAAAAGAAAAATTCGGTAATCGTCTATTTCGACTACTTTTTATGAATCTAGCGTTAAATGAAGACAGACAATATGAGAGTTAATTTCAGTCAATCTAAAATTTCAAGACACTAAATATTTACCCCGTCAGTCGGAAAACAATCCAAATTAATTATTCGTAGCATGTTCATCAACGCAATTGGCTGGGCAACGGTAATTGGAGCTAATAAAATTGATACCAGTGCTGCTGTGTTTCATTAGTAGAAAATATCTTGGACGCTAATCAAATCAAACGCACAATTAAATTCGAAATCACTGTGTTACGATATGATCGGACCAATAACATTGATCGAACTGCGCCCACCAAAGTTTACGGTAGCTCATGATAACAGCAAGATTATGTTACGCATGGTTTCGGTCTTGAATTCGATATTATGCATAGCGCTGTGTTCGCGCAAGCGCGATTTTGATTCCAACCACGCGTTTCGTCAACCGTAATTACACATGCGTGCAATTAAATGGAAACTTTTTACGAAATGAATACAAATAATGCAGCTATTTTATATTCTGTAAATATTAGAACAATGGAAAGAAATCATTTTGTACGACAAAAACGGATAGGATAATATATACGACAATTCTTTTCGTATAAGATTTTATTGTTAGAAAAAAGCGTTTTTAAATGTCTAACGTTGACGCCATTGAACGCCGCAGTCATTTTCAACGATTTATAGACTAATAAAATTCGTCGTGCTTTAGTATCCTGTTTTATTGTGAGTCCTCGATGACTCAGCGCTTATTTATTCGCGTGTAGAATCACACCCTTCCTGGACGAGCCATTAATCAAGGCACACCCTGTATATTCACTCTCTTGGACACAAAAGGAAATTATCCTGATAGAAATCAAAGGAAATCATTTATAGACTTGCAATATGATAATTATTGAAATCAATTAACAACGATTATGCAAATATGTTTTAATACTATTTTCAGCGATCTTTTAAAAGTATACATAATATATATATTTAAGAAACAAATTAATTTTATAAATATAGTAGGATACGTTGAAAAGTCAATTCAAGAATGGTGGAATATTTTTAATTTTAATTTAAAACTAATATTTTGTAAGGTATCTTTTCGCCCCTTTGGTAAAAGTTGTATTCGATTAAAAGTTTAAAAAGTGTCGACTCCTTTGATCAAAGTAGCGTTAAATGAAAATTTTAAAAGGTGTCTTTTGATCCTTTCGGTAAAAATAGTGTTAAATTAAACGTCTTAAAAGTGTCTCATGATCCCTTTGATAAAAATAGTGCCAATTTGACAATCGCTTCAACAAAAAAGATTTGCGCGTGTTCGAATAGTCCGCAAATTAGTATTCAAAGAGCAAATGACAAAAAATGAAAGTGACGTGACACAGGATGTAAAGGGTTAAAAAAAGAGTTCTTTTGGACATTCTAAGTGGTCGGTGAAAGCTAAGTTGGAGTATAATAATGCTTTGGTACGTGTTCGCCTCTGAAAGGCTCTAACGGGAGATAGCTTTTAACAGTAAAGAATGAAGAATTTTTTCAGTGGAAACTAAACGAACATACGTAATTGACACACGTACTTTCTGTGTTAGAAAAATTAACAAGCATATGTTAAAAAGATATTAACGCACTGTGACGGAATTTTCGAAAAACTAAAATCGTGATTATAAAATATGCAGCATACTAAATTTTCATCTACCTTATGACCACACATTTGTCAATTGATATAAGTTAGTTCTGTTAAATTCGACAAAACAGTGACATTTTTTGGAAGAAGAAATAATGAAGATAATTTTGGAAAAATTTATAAATAAAAATTTGAACGAGCCTAAGTTCTCAGCTTTCCATTTCCTAAGGATTCGAAACGGGAGAATTTGTCTGAAAATTTTCATTTCACTTTCTTAATCGTTTTTTGCACAATTTGTTCCTGGCAAATTCTACATTAAGAAACACGGTGAATGAGATGTCTAAACAATTTGAAGCAGACCGCAAAAATCAGTGCCAGCGCAAATGAATGTAAACCAATGGATGTAAACCAACCGAAAAGAAAGATACAATAAGCCTTTGTGTTCGAAACAGAGCAAGACTACGCTTTCCGTTGCAAAAAAAGAAATGCACAAAGCATTTCCTAATTAATTATATAATCTCAAGTATCATTTCCCGTCAAATGATTAAATTTGATATCACCGTTGTTAAATCACGTCGAACGTAGCTCATTCTCATCATTATTATTCTCGTTATCTTACAACGATGATACTCGCGCTAGTATAATGTTATTCACACCATTCTCTCGATCTCTGTTTGTTTGTTTTCCTCCGCAATAACTTTAATAATGAGGACGCAGTAATGACCAATTATTATTGTAATCTCTCTGCCAGGGTAATATTTCCTCTGCGGAGAGGACAGG